CAAACCCAAGGCCTTGAGTTCAAATCTCACCAAGAAGAAAGGAAGGGAGGAAGGAAAACAAAATATCACTTGGTCATAGTCGCCAATTACCAAGACTTAACTCGTAGCTAAAATCCTTTTCGTATTTGCAAATTCCTAAATTTTACAATTCTATGTTAAAATCATGTTTTTGGAGAAAGATGATACAATTTTGTTTAAGAGTTCCCACTGTAATAAAAAATTTTAAATATCTCTGTAACATTTAGTATAACAAAGAAAAAAAATACTAGGTTAGCATCCTAACTTGCTAATGAAAATAAACCAAATATTTGGCATTTTGGGGTGAACATGAAATTTTCTGAAATCTCTCAAATCCCTATTTTTAATTAATTGCCCCTTCATTGAGAAATCATCTACATGTAAAATGTCAGTATCTACTGTTACATATATATCAGTGGGATAACTTGGGGTAAAACCATTTTAACTTATTAAAATCTTTTTTGCACTAATGTTGAAAAATATAGTCATTTGAAAAATTTCTAACAACTCACATATTTGGAAAATGTGATAGCAAATGGTGCCTAGGAATTTTGTCATTGAGGCAAGACTTTTTCTGAGTATAAAGCAGTATTGAAATTATGAGAGGTCATTTCATAATAGGATCTGTTAATTGTCAGGTAGCAAAGAGAAGCAGGGATACCTGGTCAGTGTTTATAAGGAACTGTTACTCTAGCAGTGCTCCAGTATTGTTGCAATGCTGGAGTAACCTCTCTTTTGGATGGCTACATTTTTGAATTTCGGTAGGGAGTGAAACAAAGCTACAAGTCACCTAATTTTATTACTCTTTCCCCCTCAAGGGATTAAAGACAATGTATGGTCTTTTCTTTTCCTTTTCTGTAGTATTGGGATTTGAACTCAGGGCTTTGTGCTTGTTAAGCAAGTACTCTACCACTTGAGCAAAGGCCCCAACCCTTTTTGCTTTAGCTATTTTTCTAGCAGGGTCTTGTACTTTTTGCCTGGCTTATCCTAGGACCATGATCTTCCTACCTATGCCTCCTGCATAGCTAGGAAAAAGTCATGCACCACTACCCCTGACTTGTTTGTTGAGATGAGATCCTGCTAACTTTTTGCCCTGCCTCACCTCAAACCATGATTCTCCCTATTTCTGCCTCCCAAGTAGCTGTGATTATAGAAAACATTAATGGCATATTATGCTGTTTGCTCACTTGAAACTTAGGCTGATTCATAAGCAGTTATTAAATCTTCAGCCTTCTCAGACTATCAGATGCTTGATACTGCACTTTACAGAATAAACATTTAGGGAGAAATCTCTGTTTTGAAGCTTTATAAAAGCCAATCAGAGAATGCCCAAGGCCCGTGATTAGGCCTTTTTGCTCTTGGTACCTTCAGTCCTTCAGGCATGGTATGTAGGAATTCTAGTTTGGATATCTTCACATATTGAGTACATGATGTTCCTGTGGGAGCTAGCTGCAGGTGTGTTTTCCCCTAAGAAGGAGCATTGCTCCTATAGAAGGCCTTCAGTGACACAATGTGCCATCCTTACTGAATCCTTTGTTTCAGTGTCTTGCAATCTTTCTATCACTAATTTAATAAGCCAGTGGTAGCCAGTCTTGGGTCTGCTCTTGTTTCTTTTCAAATTTCATTCCTTCTTGCTCCTTGTTGGCTTTGATATCGCTACATGAGCACCTCAGGTCCAGAGATTGTGCTTTATTTCCTTTGATAGGGCCTTATAAACACAACAACATATGTAATCAAGATGACACTCAATGGGGATTGGTAATTGCCTAGAAGTAAGTCCGTCATTTGTATGGGGTGAAGTAGGATAATTAGGGAATAATTATGCTAGTAACAAATGGATAGTGTACAAGTAGAGAAAGAGGGTAGGCACACAACTCATTAAATTCACACCAAAGACTCAAAAGAGAAGCAAAAACAAGGTGAGTTGAGCAGAAAGCCTATACTAAGATGTTAGTAATAAAAGCAAGCAAATCAGCCATCCCAATGAATAGATTTTTTTTTAAAGGAAAGAAGACCACTGGTCTAACTATATGTATGTCAGCAACATAAAATTTAAAGCAGAATTTATCAGCGATAGTAGGAATTCTGAATTTACATGAACTTCATAGCCTCTAGATAAATAAAGCAAAATTGTCAGAATTATAAGAAATTATAGATAATCTTAGAAGGAAATTTTAGTATCAGCTGTCATTAATTGATGAGTTAGAAATAAATATTAGTAAGAACAGAGAAAATCTATACAATACAGTTAATCTCAGTTGAATACACATATATACACATACACACATATGCATCCTGAATTTAATAACTAAAAAAATACATGTAATTTTTAAAAGCACACAAAATATTTACAAAAATTGGTCAGTATGATCATTTGTCTCAGTAAATGTCCATGACTTGTACAGTTTTCGAAGGTGATAAATAACAAAAATACAACAAAAGGAAAATAAGAAATTCAAAACTGAACTTCAAGTAAACTACTTTGTCTAAAAGGATATCATATTGTGAATTAGAAAATATTTAGAATTGGGCCACAATAAAAACATTACATACCAAAAGCTCTAGAATGCAGCTGAAGTCTTTTTACTGCTTAAGGTATATAAGAAGAAAAAATGTTGATGTATGTGCCCTATTCAAAAACCTCGAGAAAGAATAGCAAAATAACATAGAATATAAAAGAAAATGGTAAAACTAGAGGCTATGTGAATGTATTAGAAAGTGAATAATCAAAAAGAAAGATAACCAGAAACCATTCTTTGTAAATAATAATAAGAATATAAAAACAGACAAGATTAATCAAGGAAACAATATTTGGGTGGAAAGGAACAGAACTACAAAACAATACAAAATCTTAAAATAATTGTGTATAATTTTTTTTTTCATTTTTCTTTTATTATTCATATGTGCATACAAGGATTGGTTCATTTCTCCCCACTGCCCCCACCCCCTCCCATACCACCCATTCCGCCCCCTCCCTCTCCCCCCCCCCCAATACCCAGCAGAAACTATTTTGCCCTTATTTCTAATTTTGTTGTAGAGAGAGTATAAGCAATAATAGGAAGGAACAAGGGTTTTGCTGGTTGAGATAAGGATAGCTATACAGGGCATTGACTCACATTGATTTCCTGCGCGTAGGTGTTACCTTCTAGGTTAATTCTTTTTGATCTAACCTTTTCTCTAGTACCTGTTCCCCTTTTCCTATTGGCCACAGTTGCTTTAAGGTATCTGCTTTAGCTTCTCTGCGTTAAGGGCAACAAATGCTAGCCAGTTTTTTAGGTGTCTTACCTATCCTCATCCCTCCCTTGTGTGCTCTCGCTTTTATCATGTGCTCATAGTCCAATCCCCTTGTTGTGTTTGCCCTTGATCTAATGTCCACATATGAGGGAGAACATACGATTTTTGGTTTTTTGAGCCAGGCTAACCTCACTCAGAATGATGTTCTCCAATTCCATCCATTTACCAGCGAATGATAACATTTCGTTCTTCTTCATGGCTGCATAAAATTCCATTGTGTATAGATACCACATTTTCTTAATCCATTCGTCAGTGGTGGGACATCTTGGCTGTTTCCATAACTTGGCAATTGTGAATAGTGCCGCAATAAACATGGATGTGCAGGTGCCTCTGGAGTAACAGTCTTTTGGGTATATCCCCAAGAGTGGTATTGCTGGATCAAATGGTAGATCGATGTCCAGCTTTTTAAGTAGCCTCCAAATTTTTTTCCAGAGTGGTTGTACTAGTCTACATTCCCACCAACAGTGTAAGAGGGTTCCTTTTTCCCCGCATCCTCGCCAACACCTGTTGGTGGTGTTGCTGATGATGGCTATTCTAACAGGGGTGAGGTGGAATCTTAGTGTGGTTTTAATTTGCATTTCCTTTATTGCTAGAGATGGTGAGCATTTTTTCATGTTGTTTCTGGCCATTTGAATTTCTTCTTTTGAGAAAGTTCTGTTTAGTTCACTGCCCATTTCTTTATTGGTTCATTAGTTTTGGGAGAATTTAGTTTTTTAAGTTCCCTATATTCTGGTTATCAGTCCTTTGTCTGATGTATAGTTGGCAAATATTTTCTCCCACTCTGTGGGTGTTCTCTTCAGTTTAGAGACCATTTCTTTTGATGAACAGAAGCTTTTTAGTTTTATGAGTCCCATTTATCTATGCTATCTCTTAGTTGCTGTGCTGCTGGGGTTTCATTGAGAAAGTTCTTACCTATACCTACTAACTCCAGAGTATTTCCTACTCTTTCTTGTATCAACTTAAGAGTTTGGGTCTGATATTAAGATCCTTGATCCATTTTGAGTTAATCTTGGTATAGGGTGATATACATGGATCTAGTTTCAGTTTTTTGCAGACTGCTAACCAGTTTTCCCAGCAGTTTTTGTTGAAGAGGCTGCTATTTCTCCATCGTATATTTTTAGCTCCTTTGTCAAAGATAAGTTGTTATAGTTGTGTGGCTTCATATCTGGATCCTCTATTCTGTTCCACTGGTCTTCATGTCTGTTTTTGTGCCAGTACCATGCTGTTTTTATTGTTATTGCTTTGTAATATAGTTTGAAGTCAGGTATTGTGATACCTCCTGCATTGTTCTTTTGACTGAGTATTGCCTTGGCTATTCGTGGCCTCTTGTGTTTCCATATAAATTTAACAGTAGATTTTTCAATCTCTTTAATGAATGTCATTGGAATTTTGATGGGAATTGCATTAAACATGTAGATTACTTTGGGAGTATCGACATTTTTACTATGTTGATTCTACCAATCCATGAGCATGGGAGATCTCTCCACTTTCTATAGTCTTCCTCAATCTCTTTCTTCAGAAGTGTATAGTTTTCCTTGTAGAGGTCTTTCACATCTTTTGTTAGGTTTACACCTAGGTATTTGATTTTTTTTGAGGCTATTGTAAATGGAATTGTTTTCATACATTCTTTTTCAGTTTGCTCATTGTTAGTGTATAGAAATGCTAATGATTTTTCTATGTTGATTTTATATCCTGCTACCTTGCTATAGCTATTGATGATGTCTAGAAGCTTCTGAGTAGATTTTTTGGGTCTTTAAGGTATAGGATCATGTCATCTGCAAATAGGGATATTTTGACAGTTTCTTTACCTATTTGTATTCCTTTTATTCCTTCTTCTTGCCTAATTGCTCGGGCTAGGAATTCCAGTACTATGTTGAATAGGAGTGGAGATAGTGGGCATCCTTGTCTGGTTCCTGATTTTAGAGGGAATGGTTTTAATTTTTCTCCATTAAGTATAATGCTGGCTGTAGGTTTGTCATATATAGCTTTTATAATGTTGAAGGACTTTCCTTCTATTCCTAGTTTTCTTAGAGCTTTTATCATGAAATGATGTTGGATCTTATCAAAGGCTTTTTCTGCATCTATTGAGATGATCAAGTGGTTTTTGTCTTTGCTTCTGTTAATGTGGTTTATTACGTTTATTGATTTTCGTATGTTGAACCACCCCTGCATCCCTGGGATGAATTGTGTATAATTTGAAAAAGGCTAATTTCTAGCTTTACTGAACTTTCAAATAAAAAAGATACTTTATCTCTCTAACTTCTGTTATTTACCTTCTGTTACTTTAATTACAAGCAAGGTCAGTATGATAAAAATAAAATTAGAGATCGTCTCACAGATAAGCAAAAATCCTAAATAAAACATTAACAAAGGAAATCGAAGAATATTAGAAAAATGTACATCAGGACTAAGAGAAATTCATTCCAGGATGTAAAAAAACAAAAAACCACAACCATGATTAGAAAGGAATCAAACAGATCCCAGTTGAGGAACATTCTATAAAATACCTGATCAATACTGCTTAGAACTGTCAAAATCATCAAAAAGAAAGTCTGAGAAATTGTCAGAGCCAAGTGAACGCTATGGAGATATGACAACTTTTTGGCATGAGTAAGATCCTGGAAGAAAATAACAAAAATATTAGGTGTAAACCAAGGAAGTCTAATCCATATGTGGAAGACTGAAACTACATCCCTATCTCTCACCCTGTACCAAAATCAATTCAAAGTGGATCAAAGACCATAATATAAGGCCTGAAACTTTGAAACAACTACAAGAAGTAGCAGGAAATATACTGGAACATGTAAGCATAGACAATGACTTCCTAAATAAAACTCCAGTGGCTCAGCAATTAAGAGAAAAGATGAACAAATGGGAAGGCATCAAACTAAAAAGGTTCTGCTCAACAATCACTAGACTTAAGAGACCATCTACAGAATAGAAGAAAATCTTTGCCAGTTATTCATAATTGATAAGTGAC